TTTCATCTTGCTGTACTCCAACATCACTGGCGCATGGTAACAACCAACTGGCAGACCATTTCCAGTCACACATTACTCTCCATAACGCAACACCCCTTGTTCCGTGTCATCTGGATGTTGTGTACAGTATACAAGCAGAAGCAGAAGCATATACTGTATATGAAGCAGATACTGAACCGTATTTTATTTTTTGCATATACAATAAAAAAAGAAAGAAGTACTCTAGAACATCTATTCTGGACTACTAAAACTCCTTAAGGGTATATAGCCATTTTCAACAGAGCTTGAACTATCAACTTCTTTGCCATGTGGGGTTTTATGATTTTGTGAAGATGATTGGGTAGGCTGTGATTGTCTGTTGCAACCTTGTTCAGAATCCCTTGAGGGTACTGGTGAATGAGTGTGATGCAAAGGTAATGAATGTGGCGGAGGTTTTCTAGATGATGATCCTGCCATGTGATTAGTAGAGTTGGATGGCACCTGACGTGATGTACCATTCGGTTTCATGCATGTGGTGTTGTTTGACTTTTTATGCAATGGTAAATTTGCAGTTTGAATACATCCATTGCTTTTCTGTTGTCTCCTAGGATTAAATCCTTTTGGAGACAACCTTGATTCAGCTAGATGAGTGACTGGTTGACCAGCTCTTGTACCACCATTAACTAAAGAGCCAGTTAGTATGCCAGAAGAAACTGGTCTTGTACATGGACCACCAGGACCTTGATGTGATCCTTTCATAGGTTTTCCTGCTGTATCTGGTGAGGATCCCGGAGGACCATCATAGAAAGATGACATCATTGCTGAAGGGATGTAGCCAGGACTTGCTGCACTTAAAGTTGTCTGGTTATCAACTTTATCAACATGCAAAGCACTTGCAGATTTCACATTTCCTTTCAGACTGTTTATATTTGGATTGGTGAAAAGATTTGGAGAGCTGTTGGAGGCACCTCTTGTGTGTTGCTGCAACTGTAAATGATCTACATAACTACTAACATTCCTGGTCTTACTTGCATTATTTGATGGCACACTGGGTCTTGATAGATTTATGTTCCTCCCATCGACATACCCACCAATATCTGGTGTGACAAGAGGAGGCTGCATGTTCTTAGGGGCACTGTCACCAAACTGATTGCGACTTCCAGGAAAGAATGTTCTTATCACATAATCGTTAATATGGTCATCACTTGTAGTGTGTGCTTCCTGCATACATGCAGGAGAATTTTGTGCACTGTTGTTCATTAACATGTACCCATCCTCAGAAGAATTATTATTTTCCATTAGACTTTCACATAAGATATCTGGCATACTCCTTGATGGTGATAACTCAGTTCTTTTAGTTTGACCTGATGATGTGTCTCTACTATTGAACCCGCTTGTATCAAGGGATCCCATAAAGTTGCTATGAATTGGATCAGATGAGCTGAATGAAATCAAGTTTTCTTGATCTGCTTCAGGGGGTTGTTGGCACTTGAGGTCATCAAACATCTCATGTTCCTCAATGGTGTTATAATTATCATCTCTAATATTGAACTGAAAGAGAAGAAATGTTAATACTTAGTAACTTACTAAAAAATCTCTTTAAAGCACCAGGGGTTTAACTTCTGGAACCACATTAGGGCTTCCCTCATGGACCCTATATAGTGACCCCAGAGGCTTCTGTTTGGTATTGTCTGACCACATGTCAGAGAATTTTGCACTGGACCATCCACTGGACCAGACCACCATCCAGACACTGAGCCAACTGAGGAAAACTATGTTTGGCAATAGCACCTGTGCGGTACTTTCCTTGCCCAAGTTCCCAGGACACAACCTCACAATATCTCTTCAGAAATATCAGAGATATCACCAATACTAACATATTATTGATACCTATATACATATTTTAGACACTCATCAACATTTGTTGATAATGCTTCAAAGACTGTCACTCCAAATACAAAAATAACATACGTTATATGTCGATAAATCAAGGAAGTTTGGTTCAGGATACGGCTGCATACACTCTGCCTTCTTTAGTTTATTCCATGAAAGGAATGCAATAGAGACTAGAATGATGATGCTGAATGCTAAAATCACAACGATAATCACCACATCTATATAGTAAAATGTAAACCAGGAAAACCTTGAGAAAAATCAATGTCTAACAGGTTAGTCAAGATGTGCAATTCCCCTTTCCCCATTCACATTCTATACTACACCTATTTTAAATTTTAAATTTTTTATTTTATTATTTTAGCATTTATTTTGCAGAGCAGCAGGTCATGTCAGTGAAATGCAACTTTGCTGCTCCCTGAAACTATCTTGAATTTAGGTGTATTTTTAGAAAAAGGGATGAGAATAGAAAAGTGAAGTGGATAGTGCAAACAGATGGAAATATGAGGATAATCTAATGGACCGATAGCTGATGTGATGCCCGTAATTGAATTAATTTACTGTTTTTTAGTTAAGTAAGAGTAGTTAACGGCAGAAAAAGTTTGTAAAAACTGTTTGATTTGGTGATTAAATAATTAATACCTAGAATATGTTCTCAGACAGCATTGTAGAGCACAGCTTGAAGCAGTCTTATGACAACCTATCACATCTACATTTAACTCACATAGGCCCCATGCGACAATAAATTGTATCAGGCTGTGTCGTAAGATGCTGTCTGAGTTTGCCTTAATGTGAGCCCACAATGGATATTGGCTGACCTCTTACCATAAGAGTAGCTTGCAGCCTTGATGAACAGCATCGTCTGGGTAGAATTGTCAACAGAATTAGCAGCTGTGATATTCACATAGTAACTCATATCCTTCTGTAGACC